CTGAGTGATCTAAAGAGCTGTCTGGTATGGATCACTGCCATCTCACCTCTGTCTCAGTGTGTTCGAGTCTAAGATTCGGTGAATGTGGATATGTGAGAAAGCTTGCCAGTAGCTTCTCATGGGTCGGTGGTTCTTTCCGCAGATTTCCCAGTTTCTTCCTTCACCATTAATACTGGCTGCCATGTATAGCTTATATCATGTGCTGAAAAATGACGTTAAAACCCAGAACAACAACAACCATATTGGAAATGTGAGTAAATGTAATTGTTGAATATCTTATTTGAGGTGTCAGTTTCCTAAAGGAAATAAAGCTTTTGTCCACATTTTCTTGACAGATACCTTGAAGTAATGTAATTTTATTTCTTACGATCCCCCTATTATAACTTGGATTTTTTTGCTGATCCAGTATCTAGCATATGGGAGATGATAGTGTCACTATTTTGCAGTGATGGCTGTAATGGACAAAACTTAAAGCTGTCAAACAAAATGTAATTTCTTCATCAATTCATGCATTTAATTGAAATATTCAAGTACATTATTACCTTTATAATGTGTATTTTTTGTAGCAAAAATATACTGACTATTATTTGCATTCATAGATGTCAGTTTCATAATATTTCCATGCATGGTTGAAATGGCATTCAACTAAACCTTTGTCTGTTTTACTATTTGGACTGTAAGATGGAACTTTTGTATGAAGAAACATTGGTTGTTTAGAAAATGTGTTAACCAGTCATTGAGTTCTTGAGTTTTGTAAGCACATAGCCATTAAATACTATGAAAAACTTGACACACATAATCAGTGATCAGATTTGATCATTTAAAAATTGCCATTTTAGAAATTTATACAGGGTATTTTTTAAACATTGTGTTCTTATCTCTCTGTATCTTGTAGCAGGCTTAACTTAAGTGATAAGATCCAGATTTCAAAGTTTGAGAATTATTTTATCATATTTTGTGCACATTTTGTATAGGCTTGAGCTACTAGTTATCAATGGGACATAACTCTTCAGCAGACTATCTTGCAAATGTTGATATATCTGCCATCATTTAATGTACATCAATAATAATACATATTCACAAGGAGTAATAGATTAAACATTGTTCTTGAACCTTAAAAACTTAGTCTAATAATATAATAACACTGGATATTTGGCTCAGTATTGAATTGAGTTATGCTGATTATAAATTAGAAATCTAAATACATATAAAAGATTTTGCTGAAAGAGGAGCAACATTTTGGTTGTTTGATTGTGCTGTCACATTTTTAATTTTAAAAGTGTTTTACTAGTCTCTCCTTGATGTTTTGTTTTCTACTTATGGAACTGATAACTGGATAAAGGAATGTTGTTGTCTTTTCCAACAAAAAAAACTATTTTAATGTCCTATTTAACTTGTATATTTACTGTTTTGACAGGCTATTATGAAAATTTTTATTTTGTCTATCTGAAGAATGAAAATTTTAGACATGTTTTTCAAAAGAACATTTTATTTAGAAACTGGCTTTGTTTCAGATCAGTCTTGTATGTTTTATTTTAAAGAGTTGATAAACAAAAATGCTAGATGTTAGTGTCAAATATGGAATTACAAGTGAAAAAATTGTGTTTTTATTTTAATATTTGGGTTATAGGCTTTAATTGTAAAGATACACTTACCAAGGGTAAGCTATGATATTTAATTCCTTGATAGTTATTTAAAGCAGGTATACCAAACAAGAAGCAGTTGTTTTGTGTAATGTTGCCAGATTTTTATGACACTTTAAGATTAATGACAATCAGTCTTTATGTATTTGATTCATAATAGTGTTTGTTTAATATTTGTTGATTTATTCATGAGAGCAATTCTGACAAATTTTAATACAGTGGAGTTTGGTGTACTTCAAAATCATCACATTATTGTCTCCTTTCAAAATGTGTGATTCATATATTTTTGAAAGTGATTTGTTTTGATTGGTGTATAATTGCTTATATTCACTTTTAGCTCTAGTGATCAAAGACTAGAAACACTTATGTAATCAGTTTCATCTTGAAATCTAGATGTTCCTACATGAAACACTCCCTCTCCTGCATCAAATGAGGCTACCATAATTTGGTGTCTTGGAATACCTTATTACTAATACTTGTGAACAGATCATTGTATCAACTGGGATTTTTGTTACAAGATTGGCTATGTTTAGTTGGTTCCAAAAGAAAATGGTTTTGATCTAACATTCACTATAGTTACATGTGGTTTTAATTAGATACTTCACATATCTAGTTGATTGTAAGTGAAAATGGTAATCATTAAATCTTGAACACAATTGCCATAGCAGACATCAAACATCTAAGAAATAGAAGCACATCATGCAAGGAATAGATATTTGTTGATTTTTAAGTTGATCAAACTTCAAACTTGCTGCCTTGATGGCCATCTTGAATATTGTTACATGGTTACTTTTTAAGAGCAGATGGTGATATTGACATGTGGTTTTCACTTAAAGAGATTTGCATTATCTAGCTGGTTCTTAAAGAAAATGGTGCATCTGACTGCCAGCATGACATCACAGTGGTCATCTGAAAAATCTTATGAATCACTTAAGTTCTTCATTAAACACTTCCTGCAATATTTAATTGGTTCTCCATGAAAATGAAGCAGATCTGACCTCTAACATATCTGATCTTTTGTGAAAGAGTTTTGAAAACTCTGATCTAACGGACTATTGTTTCAAGTTTAAGGTCTTTGCTAAAATTGTACTTCACAGAGCTAGTGAACACAGTGACTTGTACATATGCAACTGACTTTAGACCAGGCTTTTCATTTATTTGCACTCCATTAAACAAACCTGATGGTCATTACTCGTATATTGATTTTGAAGTCAAAAGTTTTGACTTTTGGTTTTCAGCTTTGCTTACTTTTGAGCATAATAAAACAATCAAGTATTAAATAATTTTTATCAAACTTGTTTTGTGGACATATTGGAAGAATACCTTGAATGATTCCAGTTCATAAAAACATACATACATACCTACCTACATACCTACCTACCTACCTATCTACCTACCTACCTACCTACCTACCTACCTACCTACCTACCTACCTACCTACATACATACATACATACATACATACATACATACATACATACATACATACATACATACATACATACATACATACATACATACCATTTGACCATTTTTTAAGATTTAAATAGAAACAGGTGACACTTGAAACTAGATTTTTTTCATTCCTGCAGATAAATCATGAAATAAATTTCACTGTAGACCAGCTTTGAGGTTTACTACTCCACTGTATTTTAGCACAGAACATGAGCTACAAATGAAAGGGTGGGAATGGGGCTTGGTTGCCTTGGCAAAATAATGTTTATCTGGAGTTATCTGACAACATCTTTTGTCTATTTGCAATAGGGAATGAAAATGATAAACTTGGTTAGTTTACTATTCAGGTCAGTAGCTTTTGTATTGCATGTAAAGCATAGGCCATTTTACAGTGACATTGAAATTGTTATAGGTGTCAATGCTAAGGTGTTGCATTTAGTTAAATTTCTCTAATACAATTATCTAACTCATTATGGACAAATGTGGGTCATTAATAACCTGCTCTTTTTCTAGCAACTAGGCAGGAATTTGGGAATCAGGCAACACATAGCATTCCAATTAATTATTGATAAACTATGTTTACTTGCATGTTAGACTGACTGAACTTTACAGAAAACAAACCAACTACAACTAGTACATGTAATGTGAATGAATGTTTGAAGTCTCATGAACAAGCATTTTGAACATTAACAGGATAATTAGCATATTGCAAAGGTCTGTATGGTTGTTTGACAGCAGTAGCTCTTGTATGATGGATTGCTCTCATTTTCAAAATATATATGAATTTGCCTTTCAAATAAATCTAACCTGAAAAAAATCTGGGTTTTTTGTTTCATCTTTGGAAAATGTTTTTTTATGTATTTCTTTGTATATATATATATATATATATATATATATATATATATATATATATATATATATATATATATATATATATATATATATATATATATATATATATATTGCTCTCTTTCTCTCTATCTCTCTCCTCCCCACCTCCCATCACCTTTGGATAATGATTACAAGGGACTTTGTGATTTTATTTTAACTTGCACACTTATGAAAGTGCTACCATGTAAAAATAAAAACATTCTTTGTCAGAGTAACCAACCTATACTTGTAACATATCAACTATAGTAATATAATGATTGGCGCTACAGTTCTTGTGAAGAATGATATAATATGCATGGGAGGAGCATACATCTTTTTACACCAAGACTCTTACACATATTCTGCCAGATGTAACTTTTCTTTGTGAAAAACAGTAGGTCAAATTTCCATGTTTATAAAGTCTTTAATAGATCAATTAATTGGTTTCATAATATTTTAACTTTTTGAAATTTTGGTGGCAAAAAAAAAATATTTTTTATTATTTCTCCTAATCATCTTAAAATTCAGGTTGTAACAGGATTGAACAGAATGGGTCTCTGGAATGAATGATAACACAACACAATCTGAATGAATGAAAGTTTATGAAATGAAATAAATGTTCATGACAACCCACCCACTACATATTATATAAGACTACCATACCACACGTTATGAAAATACAGATTGATATATGAAAAAAATATGAATACCGTTCATACAGCCACAATACTGTATATGTAATGAAAAGAATATGATTCATAGAATCATATGATACATAAAAAATAAGTATGGTTAACACAACCATATGATACAAAGAATAGCATGGTTCACACAACTATACAATATAAAGAAAAGCACACAACTATATGATACAAAGAAAATTAAGTATGGTTCACACAACTATATGATAAAAAGAAAAGTTATATAATACAAAAGAAAATTATGGTTTATGATGCAAAGAAAAGTATGTTTCACACAACTATATGATACAAAAGAAAATTTTAGTATGGTTCACACAGTTATATGGACTACTCAGTGGCCTAGTGGTTAGAGCGTCTGCCTCAGATGCAGGAGGTTGGTTTGAACCCCAGCCAGGTCATGCCAGAGACTTGTAAAAATGGGATTATCAAGCTGCCTCAATTAGCACTCAGCATTAAAAGGTTAGTTTTGTGTTCGGACTTGTCAGTCTGGTGTCAGGATCATGTGACTGGGTAGGACATGATGCTACATGTCTCTGGCATGATGTCCCAGTGTTAGACATCACTATGAACTGCCACAACTGCTGACAGGGTAGCAATATGACTGAAAATTTGTTCAAGCTAAATTAAAATTCTAAATCATACAAAGGAAAATAATTTTGGTTCACACAACCAAGTGTCTTTGCAAACACTGCCCTTATTCAGGGTTTGTTATTCACTTAATTATTTTTGGCCTTTTCTAGAATCCAGAATTTCTATTCACCATTCTCATCATGTAACAATACACTGTCAGTTGGAATGTCTTTGCTGTTACACTGCAGGTCAGAGATTCACCATTCTGGCTTTTCCAGCTCATCCACCCATCCAGCTGTATATTACCAATCTGGTCATAATACATAAACTAAATGCAGAGAGGAAAATCATAAATACATTAGGTTTTTTTTATCAAAATAAAGCCCTTAGCAAAAAATTGTAACAGACCAAATATTTTCTAGTGTTTTAAATCTAAAGAATGACATATATATTACAAATTTGACTTTGAAAAACATAAATGTATCAATACTCCATGATACAATCCAAGCAATCACTGTTGCATAAGATAATGTATCCTGTAAATACAGAGAAATGACCATAGCTAAAGTATTCATGCATGTCATGCTTTATTGGTATCTTACTGCAAGTGACCTGCCTGAGATGCATGTATTGCCCATTCACAAAACAAAAACAAAAAAAAATATATGAACTAAGAATTAATGATTACCCAATTATTTTCATGCCTTATTCCATGACACAAGTAACATCTGTTGCACAATACTATATATGTGAACAGGACAAAAGTTTAAGGATGAAGCTCATTTGGAATTTTTAGGCACCAATGATTTGTGTTTAATTATGTTTTACAAATTCAGCTTTGTAAAAGATTTGCTCTCTGTACAGAGAATAAACTATGCAATTGTAATTTATTTGTTAATTGTTCATGGTCATGGGTGAAATAAATGGAATGAATGAAATAATGAGATACAGTGACTTGCTCTTACTCCATGAGTGAGGAGAAGCACACTTCTCAAAAGGGCTAAGAGTCAGTCATGCCTCACCTCTACCCCTCATGTGGGAGGAGCATCATCCTTTCAGACATTAGTGCAAAAAGATTGAGCAGCTCTATACGGTGATAGTTGTTAGCCAAGTATATAAGATCAGAGGAAGAGACTTCCTTAATATCAGAGTACTCTGACTGGTCAGTGGCAGGTGATCATACGCAGGTCACAGGTCACGTGTCAACAACTGCTTGTTATTAGTGTTTTAATACCAGTTGTTGGAGCCCCTAATTACAGTGATATGGATCACTATCGAGACCCCATTACCACCACCACCACTCTATCAGACAGTGAGTTGGAATTTAGCTGCAAGACTAGGGAAGGGGATAAGATCATTATGAGGGGCTCCAAGTAGCCGAATTGTCTAAAGCATTCATCGTTACGAATCACTGCCATCTCACTTTCTGTTTGTTCGAGTCTCAGATTCTGCCAATGTTGGTATGGGTATGTTGGAAAGTTTGCCATTAGTTTCTTATGGGTCGGTGGTTCTTTCTGTGGTTTTCCCGGGTTCATCCTCCACCATTTATACTGGCTACCATGTATAACCTATCATGTGCTGCAAAATGGCATGAAACCCTAAAACAACATCAGATCGGTATATCCAAATTCATATCATATTCAATTTTTGTGGGATTTGGGGTTAGTAGTAGAGGGAAATGAGGGTTTCATCCCATTTTATTTTTTTTATCCTCCAAACAAGTATAAATTATAGTCCTAAATTATCCCCCACCCCTTTTTCCAAAATAGTGAAATGAGGGTTTTGGCCCACCACCCCCTCCCACACCTCCTCCCCCACCCCCGCCAAACCCCTCATTTCCCTATACTACTACTATGTAGACAGATATTTTGTAACCAGACAAAACAACAGGTGTTGGAATGCCATAAGCTCTGTCAACAGAAGTGACGAATTGTTAGAACAGCGTATGTGTGGAATATGATTATTCTAAAGAAGGCAAATAGATTTTACCACAAATTTTTTATCAGATAACAAAATGAAAATTAAACTGTGCATTAGAACGTTTCAGTTAACAAGGCGGAAATTAAACTAGCATTAGAATGAAAATGATATTATTTTAGTTATATTATATCTTAAGTTTAGATAAAATTTTACGTTACTCATATTTTTTGTGATATTTTTTTTCATACTTGCTAACTCTCATTGGTAGAATATCTGTTAACATATTGTCAATAATACGAAATTCACGTAATAAATCATCCATATTATATTTAACTCCTCGTAGGTAAGACCGGATCTGATCAAGTAGTTTCTTGTAAGTTTTAATTGATGTTAAACAACCGTGCTTCTTTATCAAAAGTCTTGGTTGTACTTTTTTACACGCCGCTGTAAGTGAAACACCAATAGCGGATATGATTAACAAAAAAGGATTTAATGATACCCCACTTGAAATTATACCAGAACTGGTCATTAACAAGGGTAGATAAGATATTACTCGAAGGATCTTGTTGTAGTATTTGTAACATTTTTTCACACACCAAAGATTTTTATCATAATATTTATAATATTGTATTAATGCGTCTACATCTTGTTTTGGAATATCTTTTGAAATATGATTGAAATCAACTATACTTCTTTTCATTATAATATTAGTTTACATAGTCCTATATTTGGGTAATCAAAATAAAAGATTTTTGTTCAACTATAAATTCCAAACACCAGAGAAAATTCGCTAATTGTAAAGTTTTATCAACTGGTTCAAGTACAAATTCTTGTTCAGAATTTTGGTTTATTATTACAGATAATACTCCAGATGAGTCATTATTTAGAAGATGAGATGGATATTTGGGAGATATTCTAAACTTTGCACTGCTAAGCACTGACAATCTATACACACCGGTAACTTCTGCAATATATTTAATAGAATTATATTTTGGTGTCCACCTAGTAAAACCAGATGCAACAGTATACACAATATTTTTAATCTGTTTGTGAGGTATTTTAATCATATTTGTTTTCTCAACAATATTAGGAATTCCACTAATAATATCATTGAGTTTTGTGTTAATATCAGTGAGATTTGTGTTAATATTAGCGAGTGTAATGCTAACATTTGATGGATTTCCAAAAAATTCATCTCTAATTTTGTTTATGTTTCTGCGAAAACTTAAAAATGTGTTTACGTGACTGGTAAAATCAGTTTTGAGCGCTGTGATTTCATTAGTAATTGAAGCGTCCCAATCATTGACGTATTTTTTAGTGACAGCATCCCCATCCTCAGTTGGGTTTCCAAGATCTGTAATCTTGTTTTGTGTCATAACAATATTCCCACTTGGATTTCGTACAACTACATCTGACAGTTTTACGTTACTCGTCTTTAATCGTCCTTCTTTGTCCTGGAAAATGACGACTTCATCTGGATCTACGCTGGTAAGATTTAGTAAATTATTGATTTCATTTTTGAGTCGATCAAGAGTTGCATATTTGGATAAGTCACCTGTGGATAAATCTCCTAATAATGTTCCAAATTTTGTATAATAACTCATTATTTACTGTCCTAGATAAAATTATCAACACTAGTTTAATATTATATAAAATGGCAAAATCGTCGATATTAAACTTTGATACAGAGAGACTAGTGAAGCATAAACATAACAATGAACTTCCTGATTGTCATTATCTTATTGTTGGGCGAACTGGATCGGGGAAAACAAATTTACTTATGAACTTGCTTTTTGGTGATAATTTTAACTACGATAGAGTTTATATTTACACAATCAATCCACAGCAAGATAAATATGAGTTATTAAGTGAGTATAATGAAAAACTTCGTGATGATCTTAAAGCTGGCGAAGATTTTTTTATAATTAGGCAGCCAGAAGATCTTATTCCAGTCAATCAACTTGATGCAGATGAACATAAGATAGTAGTTTTTGATGATATTCCGCTAAATAACATGGAGATGAAGAAAATAAGATCATATTTCTCACTGTCACGTAACAAACAGTGTAATTCTATTTATCTCGCTCAAGGATTTTATAATGTTGACAGGTGTATTAGGCGAAATACGGGTTGTTTTATTTTATTTCCAGGACTGGATAATGTTGACGTTAGAAATATTGCAAGCGAGCAATGCGGTGGCGTGACAAAAGATAAGTTTATTGAACTTTACCGTAATGCTACAAAAGATAAATTTAACTTTTTCTTGTTTGATAAACTTACAAATGATCCAACTAAAATGTTTCGCTGTTGTATTGACACTTACTTACAGTAAGGGTTTCAATTTTATAAAATTTATAATTATAATAATGGACAAACGAGCAAGATACAGACAACACATAGAAGACCTAAAAAAACTTGCTCAATCTCAGGCATCAATTAAGCAAAAAGTACAAGAAGCGCGACGTGGGCAAGTAACTGCTACAGAAACAACAGCTACAATATTCAAGCCGGTTACTGAAGCATTATTAGGTAAACAACCTGAAACTAAACCACTGCCAGAAGAAGAACTTAAACAACTACAGGAAAAAGGTTTGGTTGGAATTGTTAGAGAACAACAGGAAGCAGCTGCTGCAAAACTTGTTACTAGATCTGATGAAGAAAAAAGAAAACTGATTGAGGCACTTACAGCAAATATAGCTGATCCTGCGGTTAGACAAGCTGAAACAGATCGATTGATAAACAATCCACTGGAACTTGAGCGAAGATTAGCAGAGTTAACAACGCAAGGAATAACAAATATTATAACAAGTTTATCAGGAGATATAACAGATATCAAAGAGGAGCAACAAAGAGTTGGTGAGCTTACTGTAAAGTTTATGGAAGTTGGAGATCAAAGACTTTATTTTACA